GGCCGAAGCCCGCGGATTAGCCCGCACCCGCCCCGTAATGGGGCGGGTTAGGGCCGCAAGAAATTAGACTCGCGAAAATGCGGGCCTAATGGGCATGGTCCGTGGAGGGCCAGAGCCCGCACGGGCAAACCTGCACGGGTTGCGGGCCGGCCCGCGGGCCATGTCATATTTAAAAAATAAATAAATATATTATATATATAATATCTTTTTTTTTAAAAAAATCATATATATAATATCTTAATTCTTAGGCAATGTGTAGATCTAACTATCTAAGAGTACGTAGAAGGGGAGAAATCCAATAATTCAATAATCCTTCGCCAATTCTTAATTTAATAATTCCTAGAGTACGTAGTTCTTCAGTTCTCCCGTCACCATCCGCCTCCAACTCTATCAAATAATTACTAAAACTAAATCATCAATTCATACATATTTATGAATTACTAAATCGCCTCCAAGTCTAGCAAACATACATATTTATATATGTGTTATACACAGACGGGAATTGTAGAGGGAAAATCTGAAGCCGAGAGAGAAATCGAGTGTGCTGTTGAACCCGTGATTTGATCACCCGCCTACAGTTCTGTTGAACGCGCGGTATCGATCCGGGTGATTTGGGCGAGATTTATGGATTTTATGGAGGTTTCCGGTGCCATATTTCAAGCGGTTTTAACATGTTTATATACTATTTAATATTTTTTTTTAAATTTAAGTAATGGCCCGCGGGCCAACCCGCGAGACCCGCAAACCCGCATGGGGCGGGCTTGGGTTGTATAGTTCCAAGCCCACGGGCTTCACGGGCCGGCCCGTATTGACACCCCTAGTTTCATATATATAAAATGTGTCTGTTATTTTTTTATTTTTTATTTTTTGTGGGTGTGTTGGTGTGTTTTTTTGTTTTTTTTTTTTTTGGTTTCTTATTCTAATTTAGATATATACCTAATCTACGGTTTTAGATATATCTAATTTCCATCTCTTTCTTTTGTTGATTTTACATCATGTCTTGCATGTGTTGTTTGAGTTTTTATTTTATTTTTTATTTTTATTTTATTTTTATAATTGTATCTTATTCTCATTTTAGTCTTTTGCAATACCAATTACCCGTTTTTTTTGGAGTAAACAATTTATTTATTTATTTATTTATTTTGTGTAATTCTTATTCATTTGCGTTTTTTTTTTTTTGTTCAATTATGATTTATTGTAACCAGGAAGTTCCTTTTTCTTTCTTTTTTTTTTTTTTTTTATGGGTTTTAACGTTCTGGTTTGTGTGGTGTTACCAGTGTATTTTCTGTGTAATTATAATATTTATTTATTTATTATTATTTTTTTTTGTTTTTTTGTTTTTTTTGTTTTTTTTTTTGTTTTTTGTTTTTTTTTTTTTGTGGTGGGTGTGTTTGATAGGTAATCTGCAGGTATAAGATTATTAATTGTGCAATCAGTTTGGTTTTACCATGCTGTGTTTGTTTGTTTTTTTTTTTTTGTTTTGTTTTATTTTGTTTTGTTTTGTTTTGTTTTTTTTTTTTTTAATTATGGTTTATTGTAACCAAGAAGTTCCTTTAAAAAAAACGTTTTTAACGTTCTGGTTTGTGTGGTGTTACCACTGTATTTTCTGTGTAATTATAGTATTTATTTTTTTGGTTTTATGGTGGGTGTGTTTGATACGTAATGTGCATGTATAGGCTTCTTAATTGTGCAATCAGTGTGGTTTTACCATGCTGTGTTATTTTTTTTAAAAAAAGTTTTTAACGTTCTGGTTTGTGTAGTGTTACCATTATATTTTCTGTGTAATTATAGTATTTATTTTTTTGGTTTTGTGGTTGGTGTGTTTGATACGTAATGTGCATGTATAGGCTTCTTAATTGTGCAATCAGTGTGGTTTTAACATGCTGTGTTCGTTTTTTTTTTTCATTATTTTTGTGTTTGATGCGTGTGAAGTTCGGTCGGAATCTCTAAACGCTTGTGTTATGGACGTGTCTCCCGGTGGGACGAAGTACTGGACGCCTTCGTCTGACGAGGCTGTTAGGCCTTTTGAGGGTCAGCTTTTTCCTTCTCTTGCTCATGATATTGCTTTCCATCGACAATATGCGTCTGTTGTTGGTTTTGATGTACGTCGTAGTTCAGTGCGTAAGAATAGGGACGGTGTTGTCGTAAAAAACTTGTTGGTTTGTTCACGTGAGGGATTCAAGGGTAGGAGTCTGGGCATGTACCATTTGTTGGGAATGATGCGTTGGATGAAGCTCCTTTGGCTCAGAAGCATCGACGTGTTTCTAATAGGGTGGGTTGCAAAGCGAAGTTGTTACTGAAGATGGTTGATGATGGGTTTTTTATTGTCAAATGCATTGAGCACCGCCATAATCATTGTTTGTGCTCGGATGCGGCTAAGTCTTTCCTGCGGGTTAACCGTAAGATGGATTTTCAGCATCAAACTTTTCTTCTTAAGTGTGCCAAGGCTAATGTTGGGTCTAATAGGTTGTTTCGGTTGGCTAGGGAGTTTGCTGGTTCTTATTCTAATGTTGGTGCAACATGCGTTGATTTTAAAAATTTGAAGCGTGATTTAATAGCCTATATTAGCACTTCAGATGCTCATATTGTTGTTAAAAAATATGTTAAGTAGTTTATTTTTTATTTTTTATTTCTATTACATTTCTTACCACCATCCAGCCATTGTCAATTTACCTTAAACTGAACTGCACATTCTACTTCAAAACATGTACAACAATTTCGCTGATGCACAGTCACAAACACACACAAAAAACCCACAAATGCACATTTTTGTAAATCTGATATGCACAAAACATTAAAACTATAGCATAAATCCTCATTCTTTGAATCTTCAAACAACGCCCCACCTAAAGATATCCAAAACCATGTACACTTTAAATCCTAATTCGTTCGTTGCAAACCGTAATATACACAACAAAAATTGTTCTATTAACGTATCTAATTTAAATTTCTGTCTAATAATAAAAAGCCATACGTGTCCAGAGTTTCCTTTCCACCAAAAAAAAAAAAACACGCTTTCAAGTCAAAAACATATGTTGTCACGGATTCAATATATCTCACAAACCAAAAACGCTTAATCACACCCATTCTTCTCACGTGTATTGAAACTGTGGTGTGCTCGCGATGTTACGTGCATGGTGGTCATTACACTCACTAAGCAATATTTCCCTAATGTATTTGACTCGTAGCTCTTGGAGTGCTTTTTTATTCTATTGGGCTCCAGAAGTTCGACTATTGTTGATTTCCCTGTGGCATAGATGTCATCTAGGAAGGTAGAGAAGAGGTCTTTCTGCACAAAGTTGCAGTTAGTTTAGTGCCCTAGTAGTTCACAGAATGCTAAATAAAGGCAAAGCACAAATGCACATCAAACGCTGCACAAAAAACTTTTTAAAAGTCCCTGTGCACATCACACTACTATCAGAATGCACAATCAGTCTACTTGAAATTCTGCCTGGGCAGTTTTCTCTACAGTAACGGAACTGCACAGAAATGAGGCCTAACTATATAATATCTCATCAAATTTTGTGGTGCACTAATACTTATTTAAACATTTGAGAAGTAGTCTCAAACCGCTCAGGTCAACAGTTTCATTCAATTTAGTAGTTGTCCAATGTTGCCATATTTTTTATTCTTATTAAATTATTACTTTTAGAAATACTTTACGCCAATAGAACAGTAAATGTATCTAATATATTAGCACATAAAAGAGTTCGGCCACTAACATCACTGTTGCACATATAAAAAACCATCACACATTTATACACAAACCAACACTTAGCACAAACGGTCATCACAAAAAACCACACCCATAATGCACTGAGCGATATCTCATCCATACACCCAATTCAATGCACAGTATAATTGTACCAAAATGCACACAAAACTACTACACTCCAACAGATACTTCACACTTTCGTTACACACAAATGCACACATCAACCCCATTTGAAACTATTTTTATAATCGTGTTTCTCCTCAGCAGCCCCCACCCCAGATGCACATACGACATTAAAAAAAAACACTTTTTCACTTGTTTCTAAACGTTTACTACGATTGACAATGTTTTCCACCCACTGACCATTGCTACAACAACACTAACAGACTCGCACTCCTACTACAAAATAATATTAGTGTACACAGCAAAAAACCCATCAATTTACCATTCTCTGCTTCTCCATAAACTGACAAAATCAACCATTCATTCAAATATTTATATATGAAATAGTTAGAATGTTTTATATGAAAGTTAATTGTTTTTTTTTTTTCCTCCAGCTTTTTTCCCCCAAAACCCCCTACTCTCGTTTGTGCATCGTCGAAACGCAAAAATCATGGCCGCCTATTTTGATTTCGTTTTACATCTTCTCACTGGGAACCCTAATTTTCCCATTATCCTCTACCAAGCACAGTGTGAAGCGTAAAGAATTAGGGGAACCACAATAAAACAAAAGTAATCCACGTACCGATTCTTCTCGTCGCCTCTAAGGACGTTCGCCGTTTGCTTCGTCGATTAGCTTCGCCGACCATGGATTTCTGATCTAATCGCCACCACCAACTCTGTAATCTCTCATCTCTATTTTCGCAGCTTCGTTCGACTACTCTATGGCAGTCAACTTCAATAACAAAGGTAAATGCACAAATATGGTTTGTGAATCGTGGCCGAAATCGTCTCAGGAAACTGAAGCTCAATGGGTCGAGAATCACGGTAGTTTCCTTGGTTGAACCTTACACGATCTTTGCCCTTTTACTTTTTAACCCCTACCGTGATTAATTACTCATCTTACGCTAAGGAATATACGTTTTTAATTCCTCATGTCTGCGCAATCTTAACCGTTGATCAACATAATTGTATGGCCTAAAATTCTCCACAGTCCTCATGTGGGATACCATCCTCACTTGATCTTCACCCTATATATATATATATATATATATATATATATATATATATATATATATATATATAGAATAACAATCGTATAGGAACTCATTTTTAAATAAGAACTTGAGAACTAATCTGAGCCATTTATTTGAATCAATCTGTCAGGGGTAGGTTGGTCAGTGGTAGTCTTAGGATGCGTGTGAGAGTGAGATGTTAGTGTGCAGGTGAGATTACACCGCTGGTTTTTCGTTGCCTTTGTTCCGCTCGAGTACTGCACCGGAGCTCCCGCCCTTCGTATTTTCGCTATCCTAGGAGTCTACCGTGTGTCGTCTTCGTCGATTGAGTTGCCTTCTGCGATGGCTGGCTCTGATGCTCGGAACCCTAAGCGCCCACAACCGACCACCACGTCCGCCGCTGCCCCAGGTCGGTTCCCCCCCCCACCCCCCCCCCCCCCCCCTTATTTCTTTTTTTTTTTTTATATATGATTTGTGTATTTGTTAAGCGGTTGTTGGGTATTATTGTGGGTTTTGGGTGAGGGGATGCCGTGCTATGTCTTCCGGCTGGTGGGGGAGGGTGGGCCGGAAACTATGGGGTTTTTTTTTTTCCTTTTTTTTTTGTGTGTTTTGTACCAGTCACGGTGTTGATTGGTGTTTTCAATGTATTTTTGGTTTCATGCTTTATGGGGATGTTTTTTACCCTGATTTTGTGTTCTGTTTAGGTTTGTGTTACTGCTTATCCTTTCTTTCACTTGCAATTATAGAATGAAGAATTATTTGTGGCGTGTGGATGCCATAAACCAAGTAACAGTGTTTGTTTTGAAAGATTATATGAAGAAAAACATATATAAAAATGTTCTTTTTAGCATCTTGAAGTATTGTGTTTGATTCCTTTGGAACTGGAAGAAAAACATATATAAAAATGCTTTCCCCTAGTGGTGGTTTCTCCATAGCATTTAACTAAGCTTGTTTCATTGTGCTCTTCTTGATTGGCAGAAAGATTTGTTGTTTGTGTTCCTTGATGATGAGGTTGATTTGCGGTATGGGGCTGTTGTACGGAGGATTATCTTGAGAAGGATGCAGATGCGCTGACGTGATGCACGTAACAAAGTGGATTGTGGAGTCTTCGCAATGCGGCATATGGAGTCCTTTTTGGGCCAATCGGTGAATGCATGGGATTGTGGTCTACAGAAGGGTGATACTATGGGTCTTGATTTGTTGAGGAGGTCTTATATGTGTCAGATTTTGACGAATGAGATTAATGCTCACCATTCTAAGAATATTCACAGTGTAGTCGAATACCACGATGCCATTAAACAAAGATAGTTTTAGCTTTATGTTTATTAGCTAGTTGATTAGTTGTTTAGTTTAGTTCACATGGTTATGTTTGGTGAATATGTTCTTTCTTACCGTAACTTATTTTAATTTATACTGTTTTAATGAGTTTGGTTTTCCTTTATGAGTGTGGTTCATTCTGCGAATATGTAATGGCACACTAATTGCTAACCTAGTGCACGTTAACTATAGTGGACCATTCATGCTTTCGGATTCGGGGGACACTACATGCTCGTACATTAGGTGAAGCCATGTGGATACCAACTCCAGTCTGCTCTTCACAATTGTTGTGGGTCAGGCAAAACAGAATGGCACATACAGACCAACGTGTGTGCACATCCGAGCACGACTACAACTATACAGCACGTAATGGCACACAATTTGGCCTTCCGGTGCACACGTACTAGTATTAACCATTCATGCTAGTTGCATTATGGTGCAATGGCACACAAATGTTTCCCCAACTTGTGTGCACACTATTATCTCTGTTTCTTGATTAACATATCAGCCTAGGTCACCTGGGTATGGGCGGTGAATATGTTCCTTGTTAGTGTTTCCTATAGAAATTTTCTATTTCTTCGAGTGCTTACTCTTCGTTAATGAGTGGTGGTTGGGTTGGCTAGTCCTATCGACCACGATGTCACATGTAGTATTACGCAAGAGCACGCCAACATTAGTTTGGCCCTTACTACCGCTTTGGCACGGTCTAACCAGAATGGCACATACGGTTGAATGTGTGTGCACATAGGGTGTGGCTACAACTATACAGCACGTAATGGCACACAAGTTGGGGATCCAGTCCACACGTGCTAGTATTAACCATTCTTGGCAGTTGCATTTGGCAGAATGGCACACACATGTATTCTTGTGTGCATACTATTATCTCTGTTTCTTGATTAGCATATCAGCCTAAGTCACCTGGGTATGCGCGGTGAATATGTTCCTTGTTAGTGTTTTCAATAGAAATTTTCTATTTTTTCGGGTGCTTACTATTCATTTATGAGTGGTGGTTGGTTTGGCCAGTCCTATCGACCATGCTGGCACATGCAGTTTTACGCAAGAGCAAGTCAACTTTAGGTTGGCCCTTACTACCATTTTGGCACGGTCTAAGCAGAATGGCACATACGGTTGAGTGTGCGTGCACATAGGGTGTGGCTACAATTATTCAACACGTAATGGCACACAAGTTGGGGATCCAGTGCAGACATGCTAGTATTAACCATTCTTGGTAGTTGCATTTGGCAGAATGACACACACATGTATTCTCGTGTGCACACTATTATCTCTGTTTCTTGATTAGCATATCAGTCTAGGTCATCTGGGTATGCGCGGTGAATATGTTCCTTGTTAGTGTTTCCCTATAGAAATTTTCTATTTTTCCGGGTGCTTACTCTTCATTTATGAGTGGTGGTTGGTTTGGCCAATCCTATCGACCATGCTGGCACATGCAGTTTTACGCAAGAGCACGCCAACTTTAGGTTGGCACTTACTACCGTTTTGGCACGGTCTAACCAGAATGGCACATACGGTTGAATGTGCGTGCACATTGGGTGTGACTATAATTATTCAGCACGTAAAGGCACACAAGTTGGGGATCCACTGCATACGTGCTAGTATTAACCATTCTTGGCAGTTGCATTTGACAGAATGGCGCACACCTGTATTCTCGTGTGCACACAATTATCTTTGTTTCTTGATTAGCATATCAGCCTAGGCCACCTGGGTATGCGCGGCGAATATAGTTGGTTGTCAAGCATTACTACGCAAATGCAATAATAATGGGTGAGGGACAACATGTTGCCCGCATAACGGGGTATGTGTAAATAACTGTGGTGTAGTATCTCTGTCAGGCATACCCTGTTGGTCTTAAGTGCACAGGCCGATTAGGCCTGCCTGCGGGCACTCCGAACTGATCTTAGATGCACATAGTCTGTAGTAGGCTTAACATAAATATGCCATCTTCAACAGATTTAATTAATTGTTTCACGTGAGCATGTATCTAGATATGATAAATGGAGTCGGTAAACATTTATCTATACACAAATATAGCATTAAAGAATGTGAAAGAAATTATAGTCAGTATATCAGCCAGGCACACGGTCCTGGTCTCAGGTGCACAAGTCGGCCTAAAAGGGGTAATTCGACGATGTCCGTTTATCCTACTTCTGACCTTTGGTCTTCGGCCGTAGCTCGCAGTTGCGACTATCATGGTGTCCATATTTGTTGCAAGTCCAACACTTCCGTTCCCCCTTGGCAGCTAGTATTGATGCAATCTCCTTTGTTGACTTGAAATGCTTACCTGAACCCTTGTTCTTAGCAATGGCACACTCTGGAGTCCAGTACTTCGTTGAGCCGGGAAAGATGTTCATAAAACAGCCTGTTGAGCAGTGAAAAGTTATTAATATAATATTTTGGAAACCAATTAGTCCCTAAAGTTTGAGCCATTGTGCACTCCCACTGTGAGGTGTTGACCAGTTTGGCACATTCAAGAACACATAGGTGTACACACGCCACCTTGGTAGCAGAGATTTGGATTTCAGCCCTAATTGGCATTTACCTGACCACAATGGGGCACACATGCTACTCGATAATACGGAGCGTAGGTAACATAAAATGCACTAGATATGTACATAAAAATTTGCCCGCACACAGCTGGGGATGCCAAGTTCTGTCTGTGCACTTTACTGCGGGAGGGTGTGCCATTGCCCACAATTACATTGTGCATTTACCTGACCACAATGGGGCACACATGCTACTCGATAATAAGGAGCGTAGGTAACATAAAATGCACCAGATATGTACATTAAATTTTCTTTAACACAGCCGGGATGCCCAGTTCTGTCTGTGCACTTTAGTGCTGGAGGGTGTGCCGTTGCCCGCAATTATAGGCTTTGATGCCAAGTTCTGTCATTGCACTTTAGTGCCGAAGGGTGTGTCGTTGCCCACAATTACATTGTGCGTCACAGGTGAAGGCAAAGTCATCCTGCTCCGTATGCAATTGCAGACAACAACGTGAGTTTTAATATTCTGTCTGGTTGCATTACAGAACCCACCATTCCAAATTCAATCGAATTCTAAAATTGGATTACAAACACGGTCAGACATTGGTTCAGTGGACTTACTTTCATGATTCTTTGTTGCCGCCATTCTTTCCGGGGGAGTTTCTTGTTCGTTTCACGAGGTCTGCGGCTGCCAGGTGCACGAGACTGTCCGTAATTCGCAACCGTTGTTCGAGGGGAGCCCTGGAGCAGATTTGGCGATCGTAGAATTGGAGTCCAAGTGGAGTCCGTCTTGTTGTCCTAAATTCTAGGGATGAAATCAAATTTATTATTTAATTAATAATTATTGGTGGGTAAAATTACCCTACTAACCTTTTTAATTTTTTATATTAATGATTAATTGGCTTAGATCCAAAGGCTGGGATGGGTTCTTATGTTCTCACCTATTGAGTGGTTCTTACTTGAAGGCCACCATATATATATATATATATATATATATATATATATATATATATATATATATATATATATATATATATATATATATATATATATATATATATATATATATATATATATATATATATCGTTGCCATAATACTTCACCACATCTGTCTCATTTTGTTATAAGCTTCCACCCAAGCTTTGCAAGGAAAGCTAAATTCATATCTATCCCTCATCTTTCTAAGTTTAAGATGTAAGACTTTTCCGTATAATATATTATATATTATGAGCCGAGATATTCAGGTTTTAGTCTATATGTCTATATAAAACCTGTATTGAGCCGGGATATTCAGGTTTTAGTCTATATGCCTATATAAAGTCTGTATTGATGGGATACATGGCATATTCATTATATAGCATCTATAGTTGTGGTACTCATACTACGGCAATTTATATCTTGCACCACAGCACGCTTTGCATTGTGCGCCCAGATGCAAAACGACGTCGTTTTAGATTTTTTTTTTTTTTTTTAAAAGTTTCCTACCTAGTGTTTGGCGGTTAATTTTCCTTAAAAAAAATCTCATGTTCAAAAATGTACATAATGTTATACATGAATGTACATAATTGTATACATGAATGTACATAATTGTATAACAAAATATACATACTATTTTTAAAAGATAATACACATAATTTAACATAATACATAATAAACATAAACTTTTAACATAATACACATCAACTCTTAACATAATACACAAAAATTTCCTGATTCGGATGTACATAATTGTATAAAAAAAATTGTATATAATTGTATAAAAAATGTACATAATAAAAAATATACATAATTGTATGAACAAATATACATAATCACAGTAACTTCCGACCACGCCTCTCAAAACGACGTCGTTTTGGGAGGCGCGCGACGCACATTGCTTCGCGCGCCTTGGTGTAGGGTATAACGATTGCTCATACTACTCAGTAAATACCAGTCCAGCATCTAGGGTTCTTAGGGTTCTGAGTCAAGCAGGGGACAAAACAGATATACCGCGTGGCAACACAACAAGGTATCAACTATGGCGGGAGATCAATATGACTTTCGCTAAACCTTAAACCCATAGATTTCCATCCATTGACGTAGAGCCACCGTCTATATGCAGCGACACGTGTAAATCACGCTCCGCTTGGCCATAATATTTTGCCATCGTCTTCTTTCCTCTGATGATCACTTCTCTCCCCTTTTCACTGTTTCAACTAGGGATGTCAATTTAGCCCGAACCCGATGGGCCAACCCGATAAAACCGAAACCGACAGGGCTATGGCCCGAACGGGCTAGCCCGATAAAATACATTAGCCCGACGAGCCCGAAACTGATTAGCCCGGTGGCCCGTTAGGGCTAGCCCGAAATTAAAAGGGCTAGCCCGACAACCCGAACTATTGAAAACTATTTTTTTTATTATAGAAGTGATGTGAAACCTAACATACATGGAATAATTATTATAATTATAAATAAATAAATAAATAAATAAATAAATAAATAAATAAATAAATATATATATGTATATATATATATATATATATATATATATATATATATAAAATTTAAATTAAAACTTAAGTTTTTAGTTTTTAAAATTTAAAGCAACATTGTTAGACAGTTAGATAATTAAGTATTGTTAGA